ATTGCAAAACTGGTATGTATAACATGACTGCATAGTCAATATAAGCGGCAGGCCCTAACGTTAAGTCATGACTACACACCAAGCTCATGGTGTACTCGCGGTCGTTTCACTAGCTTCATGCACATATACCAAATTTGATATTACGGGACGCGATTGGAGGACGTTCGAACATGATATTCATGACGTGCGTGTCATGCAAGAACATGACTACGTGCCACGCAGCGTTCGCGGCCGGTTCGCTAGCTTCTTATGTATACTAAGGTTGGTATTACGTGTTGCAAACGGGCGAATGACACGTCCGAACAGGATAATCACGATATGCGTGTCATGTAGAACATGCTACGCTCATAGCGCACTCGTAGCCGTTTCGCTTGCTTCACATATACCAAGTTTGTATTATGTGACGTGAATGAATGACGAAGGTATTTGACTGGTGCAAACACGATAATCATGACATTTGTGTCATGCGAGAACATGACTATATACCACGCTCTTGATGCGCTCGCAGTCATTTCGCTAGCTTCACATGTACCAACTTTGGTATTACTTGACGTGAATGAACGACAATGTTAAGTGACACATCTAAACGTGATAATAATGTGCACGTCTTGTAAAACATAAAAGATACGCATATCACATGCAACCACATGCAATGCTCATGCGTGCTCGCGACCGTTTCGTTAACGTCACATATACCAAACTTGATACTACGTGAAGTGAATAGACGACGAACACAAATGCCAGGCGCAAACATAATAATCATGATATAGAAGTCATGTACACCATAATTTGCATGCCTACGTACCACTTTGGGGTAGGCATGTAAAGCGTTTGTGGTGCCGTCGTTACGCGACAGTTACCCGAGTCTGCCTTACATTTTCACTTGTGTTCGCTGTGCACTACATCGATGCGCCTTGTCACGTTGTGGTGCTTTTAAAGAGACATATCAACCTGCCTCTTTCGTGCTTCGCACATCATCGATTTCCACTGTACGTGGTGTCTACCAATTTTTTCTTCCGCCATGATTATGACGTATGTGCGGCGCAGCGCGCATAGCCGCATCTGCAATCCCGTGCCCACGAGTGCTTAGCGGGTATTTTACAGGACAGCGTGGGACAGCGTTGCCGAAGACACGCTGAAGCAGCAATTGTGTCATCGCTCTTCGCTTTCCGTTCCTCGCCATGCCTTCCGTTAAGCATTTCGTGTTTGCGGTCCAACCGTTTCCAACATGCACTTTAACCAACTAGCCAAAATAGCCATTCCTTTTCGATTACAACTACATCTGTCACTGTCCTTTCCGCACAGCGAAAAAATGAGGCTGCCATCACATTTGATCGGTGTATCCGCGATATCATTGTGATTGTTGGCGACTCGAAAACTGCCATGCGTAACGTCAGTGTAGGTTGCATCTTACAAACTACCCTTTAAAATCCTAATAAACCCTCCCTCAGGCAACACATCACGCTTCATGGATGCCCGCGCAGACGGAGCTGGGTGGAAATGATGCTTATGCTCGAAGAATGGCGGGCCGGGCACCGGCCATCGGTGATGCCTTAGAACACACGGCACCCTTCGGAGCCAGGGATTGTCTTTTGACATTCTGTGACATAACATATGACCACCACTTTCTGCGCGCCAATTAACCCAGTTACTCGGGGGTTAATTACTCGCAACTACGACGCCATGGCACCACTTACAGGCTCTTACGTTTCCTAACCCTTACTTCAGCTACAATGTACACGATGCGATATGTCCCTCCCAGTTACGGATGTTGTGCTGTCCATAACCCAATCTAGATGACATCATCTGGGGGTGTACTCAGCACTCGCTACCTAGATCTCTGTAGATACCAGCAGATTTCCCCGGAGAGAGAGAAAACCTCGGAGTGACAAAACATTCCAGCATATCCACGGAGTGAATGATGGATAGTAGGCGAAGCATCCGTCCGTCCATTCGTTCTTGCTTCCGTCCATCCATGCGTGCGTCTGTGTGGCCGCTCGTGCATCCATCCATCTGCCCGTCCGTGCGTGCGTCTGTTCGCGCGTCCGCACGTTAATCTGTGTGTCCGTCCCTGCTTTCGCCCACGCATCCGCTCCTGCGTCCGTCCATGCGTCCATCCGTCCGTGCAGCCATCCGTGCGTCCGTCCATGCATATGTGTGTCCGTTCGTCCACCTATTCAACCCTCCAAGTAACACCACCTCGCATCTTTTCATCATATATTCCTCAAATAGAAGCACCGCCATCCAGCGGACATTCCAAGGGCTGAACGAGAGAAGGCACACGCACACTTTCTTACGGCTTGCGCTTCGTGTCTATTTCCCACCTTTAAGCACCTCGAGTTGGTGGTATAGACTAGTTCACTGTATTCATGACACAGCGGCCCAACGCTCGCTAAACCTTTCTAAAACCAAGGAGGTTACACCAAGCGAGTGTAACGTAGCAATCCTTTCTTGTCAGATAGTGCTCAATGTACATGCCAATGGCTGCTAATGGGAAATGAGAGACAGGAGAATTCGGCTTTTACTTTCTTACGGCTTGCGCTTCGTATCTACTTCCCACCTTTAACCACTTTGAGTTCATTCATGGTACATACTAGTTCATTGTATTCATGTTGCTGCGGCTCAACCCTCGCTAAATCTTTCTAAAACTAAGGAGGTTACACCCAGTGAGTATAACGTAACAACCCTTTCTTGTCAGATAGTGCTCAATGTACATGCCATGGGCTGCTAATGGGGATCGCAGCATGAGCGTTAACTAAAAGCCGAATGCTCCTGTCCCTCATTCCATATTAGCAGCCGTTGGCATGTACATTGAGCACTATCTTTTATTGTTCAACAACGCACAGAAGAAATCTCTCACCGGCACCACCTTGGAGGTCAAATTGTTATACAATGTTATACTTGTTACACACTACTACAACAGTTACTAGAGACGAGCAGGTGCCGATATAAGAATCTTGGCACCTAAAAAATTGAGTAAGCACGTGACAGCAACATGACGACGGGTAGCAGATTGGTTGACGTTGGCAAACCGACGCGCCGTCTGCTACATTTATGCGTGTGCTATGACATGGCGGCGCGAGTTAAATTGAAATGCTGAGCCGCATGTACCAGTTGCAAGGACATTCGAACGCGACAGTGATAAAGAGCTCGTTTCGCTGAAATTCCGGCGTAAGCGTCAGCGTCGTTGGTTGTCAGCCAAAAATCATCATCTCGTGCGTTACGGAAAATTGACTGAAGACGCGACTAAAACAAATAATAATTTTTTTCCTGTATGGGTGAGAATCAAACCCTGGCCGTTTGCGTGGCAAGTAGATGTTTTACCACGCAACCACGCGTCTGCTAGGTAATAAATCTGAAATAACGTTTGCTTGGAAATGCTGGAAAATAACATTCATTCTTTGCAAACGAGTGAGTTCTCTATACAACCTTTACAACACAACATGCAATATCGGAGCAGTACTGCGTGGTACAAGCGCACATTACCACCAGGTGTCAGAGCAAGTGTTAACCATGAATTCGCGGTTTAAAGGAGGCACTTATTACAAAAGGCACACATGGTATGGCGCCTATTCTCTTAAGACAACTTTGTGGGTGCACATCAAGTTGATAAAACCTCACGCACATAAATGCTCGCTTTGTAAAGGATGTTACCCATCACAGAGAATGCAGCCATATGCGAAAGCTTCAGCACAAGCCACTTTCAATTTTATTGATTATGCTGTAGTAATCCCCAATTTAAACTTTTCCAGTAACATTAATAGAATAAAAAAGTAGGCACCAAGTGGATGAGGTAAGATCTAGAGACAAGGTATCACCTTCGCGTTCAACTCCGAAAGTAGACACTTAAAAGTGCCCCAGTTTTTGTACTCCCTGTCAGTATCGAGAAGATCCGGCCAGGAGAGTGCGTTTTGACGCCATTAAAGAGGAGGAGGGAGCAACTTGATCGACACCAGGAGATGGGTCACGTCATTGGATGCGAGAAGGTATCGCTAGAAAATTAGTTCCTTTATAGTTTCTTTTAACATTAGACGCTGAAGGGTTTTCCCAGTGTCAATTGATTGCAGCAAAATTAACTGTTCACATCATTAACGTGACACCTTTTGCCTACGTTTCATTACGTGTTGGCATAATACTATTGCGATAAGCCTACTGAAGGAGCCAGCCTTCATCCTTATGTTTCAAAATGCGAATGAATTACGTTCATGCCATTTGTCCTCAGCGAAGTTTGCTCAAAGCATTTCTTGCAAGCGCACCTATCTCCTGCAATTTCGTGCTGGGACGTCATCAGAAATATTCCCCGGAAGTTTCATGACCTTTTATTGCGCTTGCGTGTGCGCATGTCATACACACAAACGAAACTGAGAAATTTCGAGGAAGATAAATGTAAGGCCCCGACCACACCTCTCCCCTGGCTAAGCCGTGGTTTCGCGCCAAGCCATCTATTAACTGTGGAGTGCAGCACCCCTTCGGCTTTAATAGTAACGTGCATTGGGAAGCTGCCGTGGGAAGCGTCATATTAGCTGAGTTTTCGCTCCCTCAAGAGCATTGCTCCCCTCTCCCTGGTGGGATAAATACAGCTACATTGTCCTCCGTTCAAAAATGATGTTCAGGGGAAGATAAGCCCTGCGTACAATAAAATGCAACGTTTACGCATAACTTGGGCAATTTTTCCAAAGAGGTCCTGCACAACTTTTTTTTTCTGATATCCATGAAAGTGCGGCTATAAATTGTTTTGAAATGCAATGTAATTGGCTCTTGAGTTCTCCTAATGAGACAAATTTGACAAAGATATCAAGGCAGAATGTGACATGACAAAATATTGAACTACAGACAGAGTGAAACGTGCCTTACTTTTGTCTAGAGAAGGCGCTTACTAAATATAAGCTCTCTGTAATAACACGTTGGCCGCTTTCAAGCAATGGAATCGGATTGACCTGTAATAATACTGCAATGGCGATGTTTTAACACAAACAAATGGAACACACAATACTCGAAAATGGGCACAGGAAAACTTTTATCACAACATGCATTTTCAAGGTGTAGCTACCGGTGGGTACGGATGTCGTGGAATCGATGGACGAAAAAGGCTGCCTCGCTTGTTTTCTCGTTCGATCTTTGCGAGAGCGCTGGCGATATCTCCTGCTACAGCAGCGTTGTTCTTGACCAAGGCGATATCTGGTTAATTACGAGCTAAGGAGCAAACATGCATGCATACTAAAGATCGAAAATAGGTTGAAAGTGCTTGTAAAAATTAGAATATGGCAAATAGGAGAGGCTGCATACAATGCATAGTTTTCTTGACTGACTTTTCTTGCAGCATAAATTTAGAACTCGACGTGACATGGGGGACGTTTCATGTAACCTACACACTAATATTGCTAAGTGAAGCGCAGATTTGTTGCTTGTGTCGATTGAGTGCCAATTATAACATTCACACACATTAGAATAGCTGGAATGCTTGGCGCAATGTATGGCAGTTCCCCATATGCAACGGTTATGATCCTAATATGCAGTTTCAGAAATAATGCACCGAGCACTCAGTGAGCTTTGCGTGCTGTAATCTGTTTACGCTTTCCTACATGATATTTGCATTCCAGCCACATCTGTTTTTCAAGGCATAATAAAAGACGCGTACAAAAGAAAGTGTGTTCATTTTTAGGCATGGTATATACATTTTTATAGCTTACATTTCAGAACGGAATCTCATAGGTTCGCAGTCATAGGTTCGCAGTTTAGCAGAGCACCCACTCAAGCACCTATTTCTGTTCATGCAAGCTCGCAAGCCAGCTTGCATCAACATGCATAGGTGCCTCAGATAGGCTGGCTGATGTCGTCATAGGACATGTATTTCTCAAGGGTGCTTTGACATCTTTTATGCATTAGACTGGTCCATCTCTTACGTAATGTACCAGCGCTACCCTGACGGCAAGGTCGTCATTTCTTCCTAAATAAATTGTCGGACGACAATTGGTGGAGGCAGCTGCCATTCTTGACCCCGCCCCGGAACTTCGAAAACAAACTCTGCCCCAGCTTCAACCACCACAATGACCAACGCTGCCAAGAACCAGGCCGGTACCACCTATGGCGGCAATGGTGGGCCGTTCACGACCCCCCGAACTTCAGCGGTACCAGTGAAACTGACGTGCAAGCTTGGCTTGCTACCTACGAGTGCATCAGTGAAACTAACAACTGGGATGACCCGGCAAAACTACGCGCCGCCGCCCTTGCTGACGTCCACAAGCTCTGGTTTCAAATCCACGAGTGGAGACCCGTCTCGCCGGAGTGCATCGGCTGCAAACTCACTACGCTCGTTTCCTTCAGCGTGTTGCCGAAAGGGCCATACTTAAGTGGCATTTTGCAAAGTGATTCACATTGTTATGCGAATCCCCAACGACCGAATTAGAGAATGATAGCTTGCAGGCGCACACCTCTTGGCGCTTGACCGTGAGAAGTCGGATAGGGAAAGCCATCTTACGGCGCTGAGATGAAACCGGTAGCTGTTATTGCGAAAAACTGAAAAAAGTTCCCCACCTACACTATTGTATGTTCCCGGCAGCGGCGCAAGTTTGAACTGAGTTGTATTTTAAGCAATTTTTTTTTGCCACGGAGACAGGTAGAAAATAAATAAATTTGCCTATAGTTCTGATTGACCACAGCATAAAAAGGTATCGATGCTGTCGTTTCTTACTATAAAGAGCCGACCTTATGGCTCTTTAAAAGTGCATTTTTTTAATGCAGACACGGGACAAAAAATGTACAGTACAATACACAAGAATTGCTCATTGCGTTGCGTGCTGTACTTTCTTCATCCGGCATCCGCGTATACGAAGTGCATTTCTGAAGACGAATCATTTGATATTCCGCAATCATGTCTCCGTACACGGGAATACCGTAAACGTTGAAATACTCAATTAGAGAGCATCAGCAACTTTTCAAACATGACATTATTTTCTCGCACGTGTCGGCGACAGCAGGGACGCAGCTATGTGCGCCACAGTCTTGTGAGACAACGTTGTTTTGTTTTCCTTGAAAGATTCAGCCCCTGTCCAACTCAGCGCTTAGAAGGGGAAATCGAAAGTATTTTACCTAGATAATGTTATATTAAACTATTTACCAACAACCTTGGAGCGTTTGTCATGCTTTCTGGGACATTGAAAACCTTTCAAGCAAATAACGCACAGACAACGAATCTGACGTCTCAACCGCTTTTTTGGTGTTCCATTAACTTATGTTAGATGAAGTATCGTTTTATGTGGCATAGGATACGAAATGTATGTTTGGTCGAATGTTGGTGGAATACAGCAACATAGCTTACACGAAAATGCGACAGCCGAAATTGAAGCGTAACCAACACAACCGTGGCCGCCAGCATCCACGAAAAATTATATGTGCTAGTGTAATCAGTGATCACTCCCAAACCGAATGAAAGACGGTGCCAGTAGGAACCAAGTCAAAAGGATACTAGCTCGAAGAGTGGCACCCGCGGTGCGCTCTGTTAGTTTCTGCAGGATGAAAGGCGTTACGGCGTTACCTGTCAGGTCAGCTGCCCTGCAGAAGAAAAAAACAAATTACCACCTATCCATCCATCCATCCATCCATCCATCCATCCATCCATCCATCCATCCATCCATCCATCCATCCATCCATCCATCCATCCATCCATCCGTCCATCCGTCCGTCCGTCTGTCCATTCGTCCATCCATCCATCCGTCCATCGGTCCATCCATCCGTCCATGCATCTGTCCTTCCGTCCGTACGTACGTACGACCGTCCGTCCAGCCGTCCATCCACTCATCCATCCATCCGTCCGTCTGTCCGTCCGTCCGTGCGTCCGTACATCTATCTATCTATCTATCTATCTATCTATCTATCTATCTATCTATCTATCTATCTATCTATCTATCTATCTATCTATCTATCTATCTATCTATCTATCTATCTATCTATCTATCTATCTATCTATCTATCTATCTATCTATTCTGTTACGTCTTATTATTTATTTATTATTTACAAATAATGCTGGCCAGAGGCCAAAGCAGGAGGGGCAAGATAATACAGTTGTCATACATATTTTAAAACAACATCAACAATAAAGAGAGTAAAAAGTGGAAAGCGGGACTTATTTTTACAAAAGCAACAAAAGGAAAGAGTGGGGAGGGAAAAGAGGAAATAGTTGGAATAGTTAAAAACAACTTCAAATTTCAGCGTAAATAAGATCGGGAGAGTGTAAACTGCTTGCAGGCAAATCGTTCCACTCTTCAATGGTACGAGGAAAGAAGGAAAATTTGAACAAGTTAGTACGAGCAAAATATGGTGTTAAAGAAAGTGCGTGTGAATGCCGAGTCTGGCGTGTTCTTAGTGGTGTGAGGTAGGGGTCAGGGTTCAGAGCAAATTTGTGGTTAGAAAGTTGGTACAAAAATTTGAGACGTAAGAATCTGCGTCTCGACTGCAAAGATGTGATACCATTTGAAAGCATTACACTAGTTACAGAACTACCAGGCTTGTAAAGTGAATAAATGAAACGACCTGCCCTCCGTTGAATTTTTTCTATAGCATCAATGTTAGTTTTAGTATAACGATCCCAGGCAACGCATGCATATTCTAATTTAGGGAGAATCAAGGATTGGTAAGCTAAATATTCCACTTTCGTAGGAGCATCCTTAAGTTTGTGCCTTAGCATGCATAATTTGCGGAAAGCTGCGGAAGAAACTTGTTTAGTGTGGGAATTCCAACTTAAATTATTCGTTATAGTGACACCAAGATACTTGTATTCCTTAACTTCTTTAAGAGGTTGGTTAGAGAGCGTGTAGTCAGTTAGTACTGGCTTTTTCTTGTTAGTGACACGGAGCAAGAACTGACTTATCCAAGTTTAGTTTGGATAAGTCAGGATAAGTTTGGATAAGTATATTGTTTAGAGTGGACTGGAGAGCTGAGTGGTCATTAGAACTAGTTATTGAGTTAAACAGAATACAATCATCTGCAAAACGTCGAACGTTAACGGGTGGGTTTACACAATTTACTACATCATTACAGTATATCAAAAATAGTAGGGGAGCGAGTACACTGCCCTGTGGGACACCTGAAGTAACCGGCAGAAGAATTGAGTTCTGATTATTAATGCACACAAACTGGGAGCGATCAGACAGGTAGTTACAAATCTAGGCTAATAGAAAATTTGGAAGTCCAATATGCTGTAATTTAACCATAAGTTTATCATGGGGGTAATGCAAAAAAAAGATGCAAAAAAAGGTAGTATCTAGGTCTTATTACCTAAATTCCTGCGCAGTACAAAAGGTAGATCAAGTTAAGTATCTCGGCGTAACATTCACGGCAACACAAGATTGGACCAGTCACGTAGATCTAATCACAGCCAAGGCTTCGCGCTTAATTCAGTTTTTCCAAAGAAATTTCAGCGACGCGCCGCAAACACTCAAGGAAACCCTGTATATTACAAATATGCGCCGAATTTTAGAGTATGCTTGTGTTTCTTGGGACCCTTTCACGAATGTACTGAAAGAAAAGTTGGAGAGGGTGCAAAAAAGGGCTGCTAGGTTTGTTACAGGAAACTACGGTTTCAGAATAAGGTCTTCTAGAATTCTTCAGGCCTTGGGATGGGAACCCCTTTGAGGACGACGGAAAGTTCAAAGACTTAAATTTCTCCATAATATATATCACGGTAAGACTGGGCTAGATAAAGAGCGGTATTTAAAGACGCCTAGTTATATGTCCGAACGGAAATATCACTTATATAAAATTAGAGAATATACCTGTCGATTGAATGTCCTTAAATACTCTTTCTTTCCAAATTCTATTAGTGACTGGAATGCGCTAAAAATACCAATATTCTCTGATTCTAATTTCCTAACAGCCATTGAAACAGCATTTTGAGCTGCTGAGATAACCCATATATTTAACGTTGGCTTTGTACTTCTCTTGGTTGTTGATTTTTATATGTATAATTACTGCTTTTGTTGTATAATCCTGTGTTTTGTACTTTTGTTCTAATGCTGTACTACAAGTGTTGATTTCTCCTGTATACTGTAATGCATGACTTATTTGCTTTTAATTTTGCTGTTTTGTATTCTATTTTCTACTGTAACCCCCCTACAACAATGCCCAATGGGCGATGTGGGTACTTGTAATAAATAAATAAATAAATAAATAAATAAATAAATAAATAAATGGGGGATGCAGTCGAAAGCTTTGCAGAAATTTAGGAATGTGACGTCTACTTGGCCGCCCTTATCAATCACAGATGCAAGAGAATGAATGAATGTACATAACTGAGTTGTTGTCGACAAGCCCTTTCGAAAACTATGCTGATACGGAGATAAAAAGTTATGCTCATCTAGGTGTTTTGATATGATTGTTGTGACAATGTGTTCTAACATTTTGCTACAAGACGATATAATCGAAATTGGCCGATAATTGAAGACAAGAAGGGGGTCTCCCTTTTTGGGCATTGGCTTGACAAGAGTCATTTTCAATTCTTTAGGTAACGTTGCAGTACGGATTGAAGCTTCAAAAATTGTAACAGGGTATTTAGACAAGGGCTCGGCATACCGTCGAAAAAATTCGTTCGGTATTCCTTCTGGCCCACCGGAGGATTTTACTTTTATTCGAAGAACCATGTTTAAAACTCCTTCGTATGAAATTAAATTTCCTGGTGGAGTATCTGCGGAATCATGTACAAAAGCCACAGGCTGAGAAGACTGACAGAAAACACTATGAAAAAAAGAGTTAAAATGATCAGCAATCCCTTTTGCATCCAATACCAGAGAACCGTTCACAGAAATTTGTTCTACGTTCTTTTTGCGAACGCTAATGTAGGCCAAAAACTTCTGTGGGTCATCTTTAATAAAATTAGCCAGTGTGGTATTGAAATAAAAGCTTTTCTCGCGTTGAATCGCTTCGTGTAAACCAGACCGGACTTCACCTAGGCGCTGTGGAGCTGCCCTCTTTTTCCTGGACGTTCAGCCTTTCGTTTTAGATGCAGTATAGGTCTCGTGACCTATACTGCTCCCAAGGTTGTTTCATGCTCCCAAGGTTGTTTCATCAACATTGTATACAGAAAAGTGAAACAGTCAGATATATATACGTGAAAAACATCAATGAAAGGTGATGACCAGTACAGTGTCACATGCTTGTCATGAGCATTATAATGGACATAAAAAATAGCAGGGTAGTGCTTTGATTGTCATCTAGAGTTTCCTAAATTTAACTAGAGCGGAATCTGGCACTGCGATCGTTGAGCGACCACGGGAATGATAAGTAGTACATGTTTTTGCCTAGTATTTGTGCTTGCGGGCCTCGTATTGCAATTCTGGCTTCGTTTATTGCTGTGTTTCGGTTTTCTTTCGAAGGAAAAAATTAACCCTTTTGAACTTTGTGACCCGATTTGAAATCGTAAGCCTAAAAGATTAAGGTGGTGGAGCGCAACCGCTGAACATCCACCGATTTCTGTTTTGTGACAAAACAGATCCTAGCCACACGAACACACATGGAGCCGGAAGTACGCAGACGAGGCAAATCAATGTACTACCCATTATTCACATGCTCGCTGAAGCACCATGCGTTGCAGCTCCCATAGACACTAGCACTAGAGTTTACTTTATTGGATATATACGAAACTATATTGTGGTCATATTATTCATGCCTTGCTATAAGGTACAAGGCACCTCAAATGCCAGGCCAAATTGTGGCATGCATGAACGGCAGGAGAGAATGTAATATTTTATGAGAATATGTCAGTTTTAATTTAAACAAGGGCATGCTGTGATAGACGCAATGCCGCCGTGGTCGCCAAAATGATATAGTATATACTAGAGTATGGTTGACGGGCGTGTGGCAGTGAATTACATGACGTGATATGAAGGGCATGATGTGTAATTACAACATGCTTTTTTTTTCTTTTACGTTTAGGCCCTACGCGAAACTTGTTCCTTTACAGATAAAAAAAAACAAGTAGTGTGACCTTCGTTTTTCTTGCCTTAGCTGTGTTCGTTTCTTTCGTTGTGTATGAAAAAAAAAATAGGAAGATGATAGCCCTTGGAGCAGTTCTCCCGCAATACCTAATTCAGTCACACTAACGAACGTGGGTTGACCAAGGGTTGGACTGAGTTGTGTGGCGTTGCCTAGATTTGACAACTGTTGAGTAACATTACATAGTATTGTTTTCTTCCACGCTAGTATTGGCTAATGTTCCAGGGAACGGGCAATGTTGGCTAGTGGCTTCTATTGCTGGCTACTACCGGATAGCGTTGAATAACTGTTAGTCGCTTATGGATAATAGTTGCTGATCTTGGCTTAGCATAGACTAACAATTGATAATTCAGGCTGTCAGTGTCCGGTTGTTTTAGGCCTGCTAGAGCTGATTTTCAGTGACAACCATTTGTTCAGTGGCGCCTAGTACAGGCCAAGGCAGCTAGAAATAATTTTAGCAGCGGTGACTGAAGAAGCAGTGTCTAACATACAAGATTTAGTGAAGTGGTATAACCATATTTTATCTTTCTTTAGGGCGCACAGAAGACAGGGACAAAAAGAAACACACGAGGGCTTACTATCAACCCCTTACTTTTTAAAGTAACTATACATACAAGTATCCGAGAACAAACATAGATAATGTGAGGCGCAAGTCATGTGACGCACAAACAGAAAAGTTTAATGCTAAACAGAATTTAATAAAGTGAGATCCTTATCTGTTAGCGCCACCAAAGCTTTACTGACGTATTTATTGCACACCCATTTATATGCAAGGCTGCCGTAAGTACACGTGTCAGTCTGTCTTTACTGAAAAAAAAAATGTCTGTATCATGAAAGAAGCTTTAGTTTTACAAGTGCTATAACACGTTGCAGAAGAGGCGGGGGGAAAGAATAATATCAAAACGTACGAATAATCTATTAATTAAATAAACTTTACGTTTGCAGCTTTTTACGACACTTTTTTAACAAGAAAGCCATCTTACTGATGGTGTGTCGTTGGAGCGTTACAGCTACTACAAGCCACTCTGCTTGTATGCGAATCGACGCCTGTTTTTAGTGCGGGCCCTGATGACCTGGTTCGTTGAGGCCGACTCGGAGTCGGGGCTCAAAGTGGTTAAGGGTGTTTGTTGCAGTTTGATGTGATGATGAAAATGCAATCCAAATGAATGAATCTGCCTTTTCAAGCCTACTAACACTGCATCAGAGCTTTCAATATAGCCGGCGCTAAAAAAAAAAAAAGAAAGACAAAGGCATTACCTTGAGCTCAGGCAGCCTGTCTGTAAAGACAGTCATTGAATTCGATTTGCAAGTAGCTGGTACGAAGCTCCACTGACGAAAATGCGTCGTAATAAAGCTCTATCTCAGGCCATTCTTGCTCCGTGCCTAAGGAATCAAGAATCAATGGAACGGATAAACGTCCTTCTTTTTGACTTCGTTTAAACAACCGTATTCTAAAAAAGACCCAAGGTTTTATATTTGATACCCCAGACTACTCATAATTTCCATGAACTTCTCTAGAGCTGTATAACGTCGTCGCGCAGCATCCTGCCAAATAGCCGCTTGAGAACATCTCGTTCTGGCGTGGAAACTCCATAAGAACTATTGTGAGCTGAACGGGTGTTTTTTTTTTCGTAACGTGTGCACACATGCGGTGTTCGCCAAACCCTCAATGACATACAACAGCTCTTGTATGGAGAAGAAGACTTCTAATGTTATTCGGAAGACATTTGTGTTTTCAACAGCTACCGTCCTTCCACTAGTTTTTGATTTTAGTTTTCGGGTTATTGGTTAGCTGGCCGGCCCTCGTTTTTTGTGGTCAACAATGTAGTGACATGTAGAGTCGTGGTGACGGCGACGAAATATGTGTCAAGAACACCATTTCGTTGCAGCTAGGTAGTCAGCGATGTTTCATTGCCGTTAACAAAGCTGTGGACGTGGTTTGTCGATGGCAAAACCCTGTAGTCCCAGCTCAGAGTATTGAGAGCTGTGGCCGGCTGCTTCGCCAGGGTGATAGAGCGTGCAGTCGTCAGGACCTCCAAACGTCTCTATTTTTTGGAGTATAGAGCTTACCCGTGGTAGGACGGTATGGTGCCGATGTTGGCACTGCTTCGGAAGGTGAAGCTGTGGCGTGCTTACATGGGCAAGAGGGGGAGAGGAATAACGGACTGCAGCAGTGCATCGCACGGCTGCCGGCTGAGGCTGCGCTGGTGTAGGAACCTCCAGCGAGTGACTAATTTGAGTAAAATGTGGCATCCAAGTCCACTTAAAGGTGGGATGAACTCTACAGCTTCCAGGGATCCTCCCACACGATCGTTCTTTGGGCTCGTTCACACAATCCGCCGTCCAGAGGTACTGCGAGCTCCCTGCTGCAGAAATTTCTCCTCTTTCAGGGCGCTTAACGGTCACTCCAACCAGACATGATCTAGCCCCATCTCTCGCGCAAGGTGACAAAGTCTTATTTCTTCTGTGGAAATCGAATGCATGCGTGTTCATTCGGCTACTTTTGTTGTATGCTCAAGATTGCATAATGAAAATGGTGTCAAGAAAAACGGTCTCCTAGAACATCAACCTAGAATGCTTGAGTTGCTTTGCTAATGCATTCATTGAATAATGATGAAACATTTGAAATATTCATAAGAGTGTATAAATTTTATTATTCATAGATACGACCAGTTTTGATCGCTGACCAGCGACAACACATTCCACGCAATACTGCTCTACTTCACACACAACACGATCATCATGGTGCATATATAACACACACACATAAAAACCAACTAATTTGGTAGGAGAGTAAGCCTCTGTCGCAATAGGAAAACGTATTATAAAATACTTGTGAAGCAGACTATGCCATAGTGAAAAAACAAAAGTTTCACTATTCCTTGTTTCAGGTGGAGATGGAAAAAACACTTGGCATGAAGCGGTGCTATTTAAAGCATTTTTCATATACGCAAAGTATATACGCCTGCTTTGCCAATCGACATGAGCAATGGTGAGTGACACCTACTCCGCCTCCCTTACAGCGAGCTGGATGACCTCTTCAATGGCTTGTCCGTCTGCTTCGAATTCCTTCGGAATCGGAACCGCAATGAGGACCCCACTGTCGAGGTGCAGGGCATTTCGGCTCTCTGCATACAAGAAAAGGCACAAAGCAGCTAGGTTTATTAAAGAGACGCTACTCACAATATAAGCACCCCTGGTTCGGTACACAGCCGAAGCGGAGAAGGCAGAGTAAAACAAAGGTACACGGACGAGGGCTGACTCGCACGTGAAATAATATGTTCTGTCAAATATGCTACCTTGCCAACTAGATAGATATGTGGGGTTTAACGTCCCAAAACCACCATATGATTATGAGAGACGCCGTAGTGGAGGACTCCGGAAGTTTTGACCACCTTGGGTTCTTTAACTTGCGCCCAAATCTGAGCACACGGGCCTACAACGTTTTCGCCTCCATCGAAAACGCAGCCGCCGCAGCCGGGATTTGATCCCGCGACCTGCGGGTCAGCAGCCGAGTACCTTAGCCATTAGTCCACCACGGCGGGGCACTACCATGCCAACTAGCCCAACTTTCAATACTATTGCAAACAACTGTTATTGAGTGATTACGCGTTACAAGACAACTCGTGTGCGAGACGTTTTAACTTTGTGTGTAGCTTGCATGTAGCGGGCGTTTCCATTGCTTCTCCACAGGCCAATAAACCGGCACACAAATGGGTGCATGGATTAAAAAGTGGCACATGAGTCTATGTCTGCCTGCTACGGGAAATTCGCGATGTGTGTCCCTAGTGACTGGGTGAAACTAAGAGTGGCCGGTGACATGTCACAGTGAGAACATCTCGTCGTACACATCACTTTCCAGGTTTCAGGGTGGCACTGATGACAGTAATTTGAACTCCACCTCTAGCCTCTGAGGTGGTTGTCGAGATTGGTTGAAAAAACAACGTCGTACAAGCGGATGAGAACGGGCAGCACTTTAGGCCCGACAGTGCTGTTATAATGTGTTCGAACGCGCAGGCATTAAACAACACAAACAGTATTGTATTAAACACGAACAAGCCATCTGATATAATAAGGACCCCTCGCTTGGTCCCCCTCTGTGAGTGGCCCGCCTCAAATTCATCGACGAGGAATACGTTGAGTTATTTAGCTATTCTCACGAGCCATGGGGGTACACACGCTTTGTGTCGTAAACTTGCTTAAACAATGGCAGTCGATGCAGAAACGCAGAAGTCCATCCTTTACATGTACTACTCATGATGCATACTGACACTCGGAAGGCTGCGCATTTCACCACGTAAGATTTCATTGATCTGTTTGATGAAGTCGCGTACGCACATACGAACCTAGTATGGGCCCTGATGACCCACATGCTTCAGTCAAGTGTGGTGTGTTGTCGAATCCTTTATCACCAGATGACGCAGTCCCTGTATTGTCAGATTGAGTGTTCTAGCTGTTCTTCCTTATGCATTGACATCGAAAGCTAGTTACCAATACATCGTGTTTTACGTAAAAAACCATGATGATATTATCAGACACTTCGTAGTAGGTGGCTCTAAAAATTTAGACCTTTATGTATTTTTTACCGTGCATTCATATCACACACGGAGAGATAGGTAAGGAAGTGTGGGATTGGACCAGTTGGTAAACCATTATTAAACTTCTCAGCGCGACAAATTTCAGGCAGCGATTTCAGGTTAGCAACTTGATTGTTGGCGCAGGTTCAGGGAAATTCCGGAAGGCAACAGGTTTGCTGGCCCCCAAAATTTCGGCTAAGTCAGCTACTATCGTGCCTCTATTCGTGACTGAGTGGGCGAAGTGGCAGCAAAAGTGGCCACATGCTGAGGAAGTTTTTTTTTAGGACGATAGTCTTTCTTGGGGACCTTCGACGCAAAAAGTTTGGCCTGCCTGCCTGCCTGCCTGCCTGCCTGCCTGCCTGCCTGCCTGCCTGCCTGCCTGCCTGCCTGACTGCCCGCCCGCCCGCCCACCCTTACTGGTACCAGGTATTCTGAACGGCACTAGTCGATACGCCAAACGGTCGACCCCATCCGCAGCGCCCATCAATGTTGCCCAAGATTCAGCGCTCATACTTGTGCGATTGTCAAATTAAAAGCAAATATTGCGCACATCTGAGGCACTATAACAACACGTACATATTCTGTATGTGCGTCTTTTACTAGAAAAGGCATATATAAGTAATTCTAGGGACCGTAGCGTTTATCACGCTGTGCTGACCACGCAACACTTGCACGAAAAGGCGAGTGTTTCCAACGCTTTGCTATGCCAACACGGCTCTGAGACGGGCGTGCACGCCCGTCTCAGAGCCGCGCGTTTTGTTTTCCGAGAAAACTGCCAGATAGCGCTCATGTCTCACGTGTGACGTGACTCGAAGAGCTCGTTCGCCTCCACTGCACGCTCGAGGTACTCTAACGCAGCGCCTCCAGAATACCACTCACTGATTTTCTTGCGCAGAACATCAAATAAATGTTTGCTCGATGTCGGCAGCTCTGCCAACATCGAGCTTCTTAAAGACATGGCTGTCCTGGCAATTGACGCAGCGTAAAGAACCACGTCCCGGTTGCCATCCGTACTTACAAGGGTAGATAAAAGGACCTTTCCGCCGGTCTTTGTTAAACATTATGCCCGTGTGTAACCTGTTTATTTATGTGGTAAGAACCAGTGTCTTATTTATGCATGCTTGTTATGCCAAAGGGCAGCCTTTCGAATAAAAAAAAATCTAATCTTTAGGACATTTAAAATGACCTCTCGGGACGGTAGTGCGTTAACAGCTTCCACCCTCTTATATTTGAAAGAGAAGCTAGCATTTGTATTCTATGGGTCGCGCTACAGTTATCCTTATTTGCAGCCTGTGCTGTCAGCGTATGTCACCGTCCATCAAACTCGCCAGCTGACTTCACTGAAAAACTGAATGATTCGCTCAGTCTCGCACAATGCAGTTATCACTGGTCCCCTATATTTTTTTTCGAGGGATTTTATTCCTTTAGGCATTAACTGGCGCATGTGTACAACCAAAGGCGTTGCAGGAAAGACTGAGTATCGGGAATTTCTTGATGTGCTAGCCTTGTTTGATTTGCCACAAATGCTTTCACTGTCGACTCGCGGTGATGCTATTTTAGACCTGTGTGCGTCAGTGTCGTGTTGAGTTGGTTCGGAAGGCTTTTGGTGCCTCTTTTGAGTCGTGCATTAAAAACAGTTCTCGTTCCCTGCGTTGCTGGCTCGTGCTCTGCGAATTTTAGGCTAACTGACCCCCCTGAGTGGAGGTAAGTCTTCAAACATTAAAATTGAAGTGACATCAACCCAAAGCTTAAGGTTCAACTTACATGTCAAGCACTGCTCGGCCGTTGACTATCTAATCTAACATAGTAGGTAATATCTATCGTAATAACGTAAAAGAGGAATTGTCTAGACGTATCACTTTTAAACTGAAAATTCACGCAGGCGACATGAAAAAACAACGTTTGTTTTGAGCTACGCAACCGATATACGTAAGCGTCATTTTGCTATTGCTGAAACGGAGAAGATCAATTTACTGAACAATAAGCAAGTTCTGCACGCTTTTTAATGGACAAGTGAAACTACCTTAATAATTAAAACAAAGTAACATGACAGACGAATTAAAATTAACCAGAGTGTTAAAATTATTCTGGAGTTCTTCACTACAGCATCTCATATTATTATAGCGGTCTTGGCACGTAAAACTCCACAAGCGTTTATAACCTTTTAACCACCAATATATTAGCACAGTGAAACATTCAAGTGCACTGCGACTATGTTAATGTGATCAGTACCTTTTTTCGACCACTGTAGGTAATGTTTTCTTGTGGTTGTTTTATAATAAACAGATAAGACATCAATATCATCAGTACAGCTCAATAAATGTCTTGTGCTGCGTCTTCAAGCATACGTAACTACGTAGTATGGTATAGTGTTCTAAGTTCACATTTGTTATAATTCTTTATGAAACACAAGTGCACAAGCGTACCAGACATGCATCTTCAAAGTAGGAGCTCTATATATTCTGGGAGTCTCTCATTCAATACTGTAGCATAGTGCACTTGTTACGTCTATGTATTCTTCGCGTTCGTGACGCACCCCGCAAGATTATACCTGAAGATGTGTAGTATAAATACATTATTCAGCAATAATTGTGGCAAGAAGAACATGGTATACTAATGAATACTACTTTTTTGCTTGAAATAGTCAAAAGTTACTACCTAAGGTTAGTAGCGGCTAGTGTATTAACAGTTACTAAATGGTAACAGCATTAGCAAAGATAGTAACTGCTACCACCCACAACGTTATTAACTTCACTTACTAGCAAGGTTGTAACACATGAGACAAACCGTTATTTTTCTAAGGTTAGCAAGCACTTGGTTCGAGGTGAGCTCGAGCTGGCAAACACTGATGATTATATATATTGTCACGTGTGTCCCGCGAAAAAGACGAAGGCGACAGCGCATACGCGCATCTGCACGCTTTTATGCAGAACGCAAACACGAGAAAGACGAGGAGCTCTCTGGCGCGCGGTTAATCAAAAGACCAACCCGCTGCTGTTTTCTCAGCGTCTTCAAATACGAGCTCTGTCTTGACGTCGCGACACTGGTGGAGGTGCTGGGGCCTGCAACCTGAAGCAAGAAAGCGTTGTTCGGGACGTACACCCAGTCCGGAGCCTCAACATCTTGTTACGACTCCAGTACACCGATTTCGTCGGCGCCTACTAGGCCTAAGTCCAGAACTCTTGACGGCATCTCCTGTTACCAACATGGCGGCCCCTTCAACGTCTGCGAATCTCCCTTCGGCCCAGACGGTTCATCCTTACCAGGTAACTTTTGAGACTCCTCGTGTTCCCGAAGTCTTCCGTGGAGAACCATATGAAGATGTCGAGGACTGACTCGACCAGTTCTAGCGGACCGCTGTGGTGAATCGTTGAAGCGTGCAAGAAAAACTTGGCCATGCCTACTTCGCAATGGAAAAATAGCGCTCGCACATGGTACGAGAACAGGGAGCCTACTTTCCAAACCTGGGACAACTTCTGCCAAAAGCTTCTCGAGACGTTCCTGAGTGCGGACCGACGGGATCTCCCACAACAGATGATTGAAGCCCGCGT